ATACCGTATCCTTTCCAGTCCAGTAGCTTGAAAACGTCTTCCAACGCAGCGGTGAAGAGTTTCGGGGATATAACGTCACCCTGTCTTAGACCTCTCTGCAGTTGGATAGGTTTCGAACTCTGGTTCTGTACTCGGATAGCCATCGTAGCCCTACTGTACAAACACTTCAGCACTTCGATATACCGACAGTCAACTTGGCACCGCTGAAGGGACTAGCACCGCCCAAATTTCGACGGAATCGAATGCTTTCTCATAGTCCACATACGCCAGGCAAAGTTGCAGATTGTACTCTTGGGTCTTCTGTACAATCTGCCGCAGGGTATGTATGTGGTCTATGGTACTGAAGCCTTTTCGGAAACCGGCTTGTTCGGGAGGCTGGAAGTCGTCGAGTCTGCGTGCGAGACGATTTGTAATGACTCTCGAAAACAGCACGTAGACGCGGCTCAGAAGGGAAATCGGTCTGTAGTTCTTCAAGAGAGCGAGAGAGTTGTCAACGAAAACCGACAAAACCCCCGCCTTTCTTAAAGAACAAGACCACCCCACTTCTGCTCCACGCCTCCGGAGTAGTGCCACCATGGAGGACGGAATTGAAGAGCTTCTGAAGGACTTCAAGTACCGGTGTCCCACCCGCTTTCAGAAGCTCCGCTGTAATTCCATCCTCGCTTGGGGCCCTGCCGTTTTTAAGTTGCTGGAGAGCCATTCTAATCTCGCTCAGACTGACGTCCGGGATGTCGTCGGTATAGTGTCGGATAAGACTTGCTCTTGGATCGTTACTCACACTTGCGTGTGGCCCCAACGATGATGTGTACAGCTGCGCATAGAACCTCTCAATCTCACTTAAAATCTCAGGTGTCCCGGAAACGATGCTGCCACACTCAGTCTTCAGCTTTGACAGTTGGCTCTTACTGGCAGACAGATCTCTGGCAAAGACTTTGGAGCCTTGGTTCCGCTCGATCGCTTCTTTAACCTTTTGAGCGCCAAAGTCGTCTATACGTGACCAGGACCCGGCCCACAAAAATATGAAATATAGACATTGGAAAATTATTATTGGTATTTTAATTCTACACCCCTCAAAAAAGAATAACCCAGCAACATGTGAGTATAAAAAACAAGTCTCCTAGAGCCACAAGTACTAAGAAACATTGAACTAAAAAAAATGGATTTTTATCTAAGCAAATACTATGTCCAACACGCCAATGTCGTCTAAACGAAATGTTAGACCGCTAGTGTTGTAATGCGTTAGGCATAAATTTATTGAAAACTATTCAAAATTAAGCTCAAACGTGTTATTTTTTTTCTATTATTATTGATATTTAAATAAAACAAAAGGTTAGAAATATAAAACTATAATTACAAGCTACATGAATTAAAAAAAATTATCAAATTATCTTCGCATAATAAATCTAATATCTCAACTCTGGCGCATCCTTAGCGCGACATCGAAAATCAGTTCACTGGGCGCCGTGGTCAAGTACATAGACGACACGCTGATGACGTCATAAGCGATTAGCGGGAAAATTAGTGCAGTGCAACATGAACGATTCCTCAGAACTCATTCGGATTTTGGAAAGCGTCGACGATGATTAATTTTCGGAAATTTAAAATTATCGTGAAACCAAAGTTTTTCATTTTCGATTAACTCTACCTCAATGAGATAGGAGTACACTTTATAGTCTTTTTACGGTTAATTTCTTTTTTATAGCATAGGGTAATAAACGAGCACACAGTCCACCTGATGGTAAGTGGTTGCTGTGGCCCATAGACATTTACATCTATCCTCGATTACGAAATGCAGATGCGCTCTCAACCGTGAGGACTTAGATGGAATGCCTCGTTTCCAGTAAGGAGGGTCTCCGGTTCTCTACACTTACCATACGAAACACAGCAGCATTAAGCTACTATTTGACGCCGGTATTCCGTGAGAGCGTGGTTCTTCCCCGGTTGAGCCGACCCATTCGTGCTACAACTACTCTCCCGTAATATAACTGCAGCATGGCTCTACCACGTTAGAAAATTTGCTTTGGACAGCTAAACATTTATGTTTTATTATTTCATAAGATTTTTATTATTTTAAGACTAATATTACCTATAATTTATAAATTATTTTTAATTGTTGTTTTCTATATTAAGTACTGATTTAGTTAAAGACCAAGATTTTAATATTTTAAGACTAGACCTAGTGCAAATAATTATTTACAATTGATGATTAGTGAATAATTATGTACCATTTGTTGATTTCTGTAATAAGTACAGATTTTTTTATTGCATGACCAAGATTTAAATATTATAAGACTGATTTTTCTAGTGCGAATAATTATGTACATTTGTTGATTGGTGAATGCATGCCGTTTGGTGATTTTGGTATAATAATTACTGATTTTTTATTCCATGACCAAGATTTTAATATTATAAGACTGATTTTCCTAGTGCGAATAATTACCTACATACAATTGTTGATTAGTGAATAATTATGTACCTTTTCTATTTTAATAATATAAAATTATAAATAATAAATGTGTTTTCTTTACTTAACGTATGAAGAGCAATTTTTCATTTTGTGTTGTAAAATTTTCTTTCTCAATCTCAAAATCATTTAGCAACATCAACAACATATAAAACCCCCTTTGTCATAAGAGCGTAAGACTTTTCTTCTGTGATTCACTTGGCCTACGCCTCGCCATAAAATATTTTGAATCGATGTCTGTATATTTTGGTTAGATCGATTTTGAAATCGATACACAACGTGCGACACGGCTACATCTCTAAGAAAGAAAGGTCAGCTACGCCGTTGTCGTCCAGTCGTGACAGTAACGTCATCACGATGGAGAGTAGTGTTGTGGTTTACTACTATTTTATTGTTATTGTTTGTTTTTTATTTATGTACAAAGTACATATATAAAAAGAGTGGAAGACAGCACAAAATTAAATAAAACATACCCGATTACAAAGAGTCATTTATTGTATAAAAAACCAACAAAAACAAGTTATTTTGTGTTATCGATATATCAACTCTTGGCAGCACTGTTTTTTTCGTAGGTATTTTTGTTTACTTTTCGCTTTGGTGTACAGGACACGGTAGTGAGTTTTTGGCGTGGCGCTCAAAAAGGTTAATACGAGCAGTATGAAAGTTGCGTAGTCTCGAATCACCGTGTCTTCACCCCTCTCTTCGGACCTCGAATAATCCTATAATATTCCAGCACAACTTGTCTATCTCTTCTTCCAGCTCCAGGATCCTCTTGTCAGTCCTCAGGGTGCGTGCGTTAAATGTTGCCGGGTCGAGTCGTCGTAGGTGTCAAACGAACCTCCACTCGAGATTCTAAGAACCCCCTGCCCCGCCGTTACCATGGTCGCCACAGTAGCCAGGACTAGCGGGGCCGCCGGGGACTGGGGGCCGTCTATTTGTGTAATTGTTCATGAGGGGTATATATCCATAGTTGCCACGCTTGGCGAGCGTGTTGGCAACCGCAGTTTTTTTGTCGTACAGTTGCTGTTACCAGGAAGATCCTGCTGCCCATCTCCTGCCTGTTTTCCTCTGTTGCCTTTTACGACACCCGCGGCAAGATATGGGGTAGTGGATATTCTTACAGCTATTCGTTACAGCTACAACTATACTACTAATATAATTGCAGCATGGCTCTACCAAAATTATATTATACATATTATACTATACATAGTATAAAACAAAGTCGCTTCCAGGCGTCTGTACGCTTACAATAGACAGAGTGATTCAAGAGGAAGGTTTATACGTATGATACATGCATGTTATAGTAGAGAATTACACAAATATCAATTGCCGCATATATGAAAGATGAACACTTGAGCAGGGCTGATTTTGATGAAATTTTTACAAATTTGAGTGGGTCCCTGGAAGATTTGCATTCACAACTATTAGATCCGATTGGTGGCGCTGTTGTCGAGATCCAGAAACCACTCGTGAGAAGCTGGGGCGGATCTAGTCTTACGGAATATTTAACAGATAAAGAAAAAAAATCGAAGGAAATATTTATTCGTATTAAAAATTGGTCAGATTGCAAACAATAATTTTAAATTTCATAAAAGAACATAATTATCATTACATTCATATATGCAATATGAAAAGATCTCTACAAAAATAATAGACTATCTATATCATATATGATGCAATGCGCCATTACCGCCAGCCTCGTTCTCTACGAAACAGTCCAGTTAAGTTACCCTGAAAAGAAAAAGAAATAATTTAGATCAATTTGTATTACAAAACAAATGAGCGAAATGAGCCAGAAATTCCTATGAATTAAATTGCAATTACGACCAAAACTATTTTAATGGGTTTCTTTGAACGGGTTAATTATTGATGACCTTTCAGATCATGTGACGGTCTGGATCTCCAGGAAGGTCCTCTCCAGGTCAAATGCAGAAGACAGTGCTCCTTACCATCGCATGCATCATTCGCCAATTCCTTTTGAATTTCTCCAAAACTAAGACGGTTGGTCTACCTTTGCTGAGTGCTTTGTCTGATTGGATTTTATAATATATTTTATTATATCTTATTCAAATTTTTATATACTGATCATCGTCGTCATCATCATCACATACCTTCACAAATCCTTCACAGAACATAGTCAAATAGTCATAGAGTAGCCAAATTTTGAACTTAGGATCAAATATTTTGAATTATCCCAAATTAAATGTAATTTATAGACAACAACGTTTTACCTACCGATCGACCCTAACGAATGTTTGCGTGCGCAGAAAGATCAGTTAAAATAAAGCATTACCACACATTTAGAATTTTAAAAAATAAAAAGGATAGAATGTTTGAGATTTAGTTCTTTAATTTTTCTTCACTATTTGCCTATACTAGTTATTCTGAATCTTCTCCGCAAGTTTGGCTGGTTATTGCAGAGTTATCCTGTATATTATATATTTGATCCATTACTATACCAAGCATGAATCCCAGAAGTGGGTATCTTACCCCATGTATGTAAGGCTGCAGAGTAAGGATGTTTATACTAACAAGGCTAGCTGGCAGTAGTCGAAGCACTCTTGGTCATGAGTTTCGCGACCATCTCCTGAACCCTCTTCATTTCCTCCAATTGTGTTGTTACTTGATACAGTCTGTTCTCACGCTCTACCACCGTCTTCTCTAGCTGTTTTATCATCTGGAAAATATCAAAACATATACAATATGTAGAGTTTAAATTACGGACCGATATTGCTATACCAATTGTTTCATCATCATCATTACAGCGCATAGACATGAACATGGACCTCCTCCAAGGAATGCCACAAAGCACGGTCCTGAGCCACCGATTTTCTGCATGTCTTACCAGGGCGTCACTCTATCTAGTGGGGTCGCCCTACACTTCGTCTACCGGTACGAGGCTGCCACTCTCGAGAACCTTTTTTCCTCCATCGGTTGTCTTTTCTACGAGATATAGGGCCAACTTATCCATAAACCGATCGAAACCGACCGAAAAATCATTTACCGGGTAAATTTTTTACCCAGTGCCCAGCAGTGGGTCACATGACTTTTCGGGCGGGTACTCACATTGTCCTTTTGCTCCAGCTCTCTTCTCAAAGCGCTATCAGACGCTGCCGCTTCCTCCAACTTCTTGTCGCGTTGCTTCACTCGCTCCTCGAATTTAATTAAAACGCCAGCTAGCTCGTTGTTTTTGTTAGTCTGGAAATAAAAGAAAATTTAAAAAAAATGCTTTTTAACCTATGCCGTTACCGTCAGAGCCTATTCAAGTCCACAGCTGAACATACGCGTCCCCCATAGAGTGCCTTGCATAAGGGATTTTGTTATAGTTGCATAAGCAAGCAGTTTTTTATTTTTAGTCGTTATTAGGAAGACATTGCTGTTTGTTTCCCTCTGCCGCCTCTTACGACATCCACGGGTTGATATGGGGTACTGGATATTCTGCAACGTGTAGTGGACACGGTAACGTGTGCAGGTCTAATTTATATTGCCTCACAGCTTGTATTGGGTAGTTGAAGCCGTCATTCATAAATAACTGCATCATACAATTTGACATTGCTAGTTTTAGTAATGTCCGAAAACTTGATTCAATTTTGTATTTTTAGTTAATTTTAAATTTAATTTAAAATTTAATTTAAATTTTTATAGGATTAGGGTGACAAACGAACACACAGTCCCCTTAATGCTACTATTATGATTGCAGCAGGAATGGGGTCGGCTCGACCGGGGAAGGAACACGCTCTCACAGAATACCAGCGTAAAATAGCAGCTTAATACTGTTGTGATTCGTATGGCGAGTGTAGAGAACCGGAGATCCGTTTTACTGGAATCGAGGCATTCCATCTTAGTCCTCACGGGTGACAACGCATCTGCATTTTGATTTGTAATCGAGGATAAATGTGGATGTCTATGGACCACAGCATCCACTTACCATCGGATGGACTGTTTTCGTTTGTCAACATAATACGATATAAAAATCAACGTCATAAACGTTTTACGATAATATGATGCCATCAAAAACATAACTTGTAAAAAAACCAAGTCTCACAACTCGGTTCTTCCACTGTAAAAAGTTGTAAGATCCACGTTATACCAAGTCTGTTAATTTATTAAGGGTTCTTCTCTTTTAAGTTACTACGTAATTAGCTAACCTAACAACGTCCTATAATGACCATATCAATGTTAAAAAAAAATTATGTTTTAAATATATAGATTGACTTGGCCATCGCATGAAAACACAATGTATATCACAAGTGCATATACATAAAAACATAAACACTCACGCCTGTCACCCAGAGGGGTAGGCAGAGATTACAGACTTCCATTTGGCACGATCCTGACACACCTCTCTCGCCTCCTTCACATCCATACACCTACGCATGCATGCTCGTCGGTTAAGGGTACTCCTAATTTGGCCCGTTTTCAATAAATCGCCAATTTGGTCGATAAATTTTCGCCTAGGACGTCCCTTTCCGACTCTGCCATTCACTTCTGCAACATAAATTTTCTTTGTCACTCTTTCCTCATCCATTCTTTCCACATGACCAAACCACCGAAGCATTCCTTTCTTGTTAGGATCAACGGGGTCTACTCGGACTGGTTTGGCATCCATATAGGTGTCAGCCAGGGCTGTGTGGCTTCCCCGTGGCTGTTCAACCTATTTATGGACAGTTGTTTGCAAAATTTGAAAGTTGAAGAATGCGGATTAAGAATGGGTGAGTTAACCGTCAAATGCCTTTTGTACGCCGATGGATCAAGTTATTCTTGCGTCGTCGGCGGCTGAGTTGCAAATGATGGTTACATTAATGAACAGATCATTAAAAGGAAAGGGGTATGAAAGTGAACGCAAGTAAGACGAAAATTATGGCTTTTGAAAGAGATGAAAGTAAAACGATATGTGAAATAAGAATAGAAGAGGAGTTGATCGAGCAAGTAGATGAGTTTGTATATTTGGGTTGCGTATTTAGCAGGGATGGTAGATATGATAAGGATATAGAACGACGAGTGAACGCAGGAAACAGAGTAAATGGGGCCCTACACTCTATTGTGAAGAGTCAAAATGTGTCGAAAAAGGCACGTATGGCAATTCACAATGCTGTGTTGGTCTCTACTTTAACGTATGGTAGTGAAAGTTGGGTGTGGCAGAAGAAGCACGAGAGTAGAATGAACGCAGTATAAATGCGGTCGTTAAGGAGTATGTTAGGGCTGAATCTGAATGACAGGGTGAAAAATTGTGTGATAAGAGAAGAGTGTGGTTTGCAAGATGATGTTGTGACCAGGATATCACAAGTGATACATATTATATTAAATTAGATTGCTTAGTGCTATTGCCAAGTCAATCTAAATATTTAAAACATAAAATATTATACATATTAAAATGGTCAAAATAATTAAAATACGTAAAAGAACTATATATAAAAATTTAAGAACTGTAAATTGCAAATGCACACCTGTAGTTCCAACTTCTTTTGTAGATTTTTGTACTCAACTTCTGTTTGTTTTAGTCTTTCTTCCGCCTCTTTTTCGCGACGTTTCAATTCAGTCTCCATGTTCTGGAAACAAATTGTAATTACATGTATTTCAAAAAAATATTTTATAATATTTGTAATGCTTAACTTAATGCATAATTTAACTTATATTCAACCGTCACGGTTACAGCCAATTAAAAGTCCAACATGCTGAACATAGTACTCCTCATAAATTGGCTCATACGGAGGATATTTGTCATTTGGCACGTTTGGCAAGCGGGTTGGCAACCGCAATTTTTTTTTATTCAGGATAACAACAGCTTATTAATACTTAAACAATATTACTTAAATAATTAAACATGAAAAAGCCAATTATAGTTATCCCCAAAGTAGATAACCAAACATAACACTGAAAATCTAATACACTACAAAATAAAATCGGTAAGAACTATTACTAAACAGTAACAAATTAATTGAAGTAATAATATTACCATCATGACGTTACATATATATACAAGTACAGATGTATATACGTACAAAAGACATACATAATTACACTTACAAACACACACATATGAATCTATAAATGCAAATATACTTTGGTGTTATTGTTATTATATAAAATAGATAAAAAATTAAAAAGAGACACTAATATATGCATACATACATACACAGATACACATACATACATATATATATACATATATATATATATATATATATACATACACATATATATACATAAATACATACATACATATACATATACATACATAATAACAGTATTAAACGAGGGCACAAATATTAATTTGGGTACTATTTTAATTACAATTTACTGATTACCTTCAGCTGCATAGAATAAAAACTTGTTAATTTTATTTTTAAATCCACTTTTAGTATTATTAAAAGGATCAATTGCGCTAAATTTTTTGTCGTAAGTTGCTACTAAACGCGTTAGAACATTGTTTTTCCCATAATTGGTCGGGTGAAAGGGGATGTAAAACAAAGAGTTTCTGGTATGTCTGGTACGTTTCAATGGGACATTAAATTTAATGAAAGCCAATAAGTCAGGGCAGTCAATTCCTCCGTGTAATATATCGAATAAAAGCCCCATATCCAGCAGAATACGTCTTTCTTCAAGCATTAACAGACCGTAAAATCTGCAATCGTCTCTATATGAAGAGCCAGAACGTCTAATTTTAAAATTTAGATGGGAAATGAACTTATTTTGAATCCTTTCAATTTTATGAACATATTTAGCATAAAATGGCGACCATATCTGAGAGGAGTAACTCTAATATAGATCTTACATATGCGAAATATACTACTTTTAGACTTTGAGGATTAGAGAAAGGAAGACAAGTTCTTGCTACAAATCCCAAATTACGAAACGCTTTACTGCAAATAGCATCAATATGCTCATTCATTGACATACGGGAGTCAAAATATACGCCAAGATCGCGCACCACCGTAGTCCTCTCGATTACAACACCATTGAAATTGTATGAAAAAACTATGGGATTATTTTTCCGCGTAAATGAAATACACTGACACTTACCAACATTTACCGTGATTTTATTAGCGACATAGTAATGGTATAATATATTTAAGTCATTTTGAATTAGTTCACAGTCCTTGATAGTGCGTACACGCAGATATATTTTTTTATCATCAGCATAAAGTAAATGTTGAGAATTTTTTATATATTGACATATATCATAAATATAAGCGTTGTAAAAGAGAGGACCAAGGTGGGAACCTTGAGGAACACCAGAGGGAACCGTTACGAAATCTGACCTATAACCGCCTAGAACCACAGCTTGAGAGCGGTTAGTCAAATAAGATCTAATCCATCTCAGTAAGTCCCCATGAATGCCGAGGGACTGCAGCTTCTGAAGAAGTATGACGTGATCCACACGGTCGAAGGCTTTTTCAAAGTCGGTGTAGATCACGTCAACTTGACCGCCACCTTCCATTTCATGAAGAACGTAATTAGTGAAATTTGCAAGATTGGAAATAGTAGAACGCTTTTTCAGAAAACCATGTTGCGTACTCGGGATGTGTCTAACTATTGTAGCATAAATTTTATTAAATATAAGTCTCTCAAATATTTTAGCAATTGTACTGAGAATAGAAATTGGACGGTAATTATCAATTTTTGTTTTAGAACCTTTTTTATGAACCGGTATTATATATGCCTTTTTCCAAAGTGTGGGAAACACACATTCTCTGAGGGAAAGCTTAAAGAGCAACGTAATTGGATAACTAAGACTCTCGGCGCAGGCTGACAGAAAAACTGGAGGTACTCCATCGTAACCCGCTCCCTTATAGGTGTCTAAGTTTTTCAGATATGTTAGTATAAAATCCTGAGAAACTTCAATTTGAGAGATATCATCACTCCATGACGAAGAGACAGTATTACAAAAGTGTGAACTAGAATCAGTCAAAGGAGAATCAGCAAATACACTTTGAAAGAAGGCATTAAAGGCAGAGCAAATATCCTGTCCCTCCGTGTAAATAACGTTATTTAGGGTAAAATTACGAGGATAATTAGATCTTCCCTTTTTAGACTTAACAAATTTCCAGAAATACTTAGGCGAATTCTTTAAATTTTTCTCAGTATTACGAATAAAGTCATCAAAACATTTTTTTTTTGTTCTATGTAGTCTATCCCTGAGAAGTTTAAACTCCTCATAATCACGAGGGTTGTTAAATTTTTTCCATTTTTTGTGTGCCTTAAATTTTTCACGAATTATTTTAATAAGTGCGCGCCTGTACCAACACGGGTAACGATTACTAATTTGGGAAGATAGTGGTACAAATAAAGTAAAACATTCGTGGAGTTTTTCATAAAAAATCTCAACGGCTTGGTCGACTGTATTTGTGTTTAATAATAATTGATCCCAGTCTACTCTTTTTAAAAAGTTATTTATGTTAACATAATTACATTTACGGAAATTGTGTTTTGAGTGAAAATGTTCTTTAAAAGGTTTTACAAAAATGTCTTGTATATCAATGGTAAAAGGTGGGTGTAAGGTGTCGACTTTAGACAAAGGGTCAGAATGGTTGATTTCCAAGCATAAGTTTGAGAAACATAGATCCAGTATATTGTTACAACGGTTGGGGAGCAAATTATATTGATTCATGCCAAAAAAACATAAATCCTCGGCCAAAACACTGGCAGCTTTTTGAATATCAGCTCGGCCAGAATGTATTGTCGACCATCCTGAGGAGCTCCATTTTAAACAAGGTACGTTAAAATCGCCAACTATAAGATAATGGTCAGAGGGTGCCAGTAGGTAAAAGCGTTCAAAGTTATTTCGGAATTCATAAATACAATCGGTTAATATGTTATCATTTGGTGGTATATAAACTAAAATAATATTCAAGTTACAATTTGAATTGAGAAAACGTGCCGATAGACTCACACATAATGATTCAAATCCTTTACAATCCCAATCATTACGACGCGTAGCGCATAGTTCTCTTCGAGTACAGATCATTACCCCTCCACCCGTCCTTTTTTCCGTTGTTGCTAAGTCACGGTCACAGCGAAAAATATCGAACCTACCATCACAAACTTCGTTATCAAGAATATCACTCTGCAGCCAAGTTTCAGACAAAAGTATTAAATTATAATCACACGATAAAATATTATTATAAAATATTATTATAAAAATTTTTAGTCGTTATTAAGAATACGCTGTCCATCTCGTGATTTGTTTCCCTCTGTCGCCTCTCTCGATACTCTTACACCGTCTAACTGTGGCGATAGAGAAATCATTTTCAAAGCCCAAAAGCCAAAAGAGCAATCTTTAATTTAAAGACTACCGATAGTTGTGTCCCCATTTTTAAAGCTCATAAATTATTAACTTTTCCGTGTCTATATATTCTTGAGGTAGAGTTATTTGTCAAAATTAATCATCATTTATTTCCTACCTTAAATGAAACTCGAGTAAGAATTGTACCTACGAGAACGCAATATAAAGACTTATTGTACACAGGAAGATCTCAAACAGCTTTATTAAAAAAAAGTGTTATGGGGATGGCACCAGTCATTTATAATAAAATTCCTAATTTTGTAAAAAATCAACCGATAAGAATATTTAAAAAGAGTCTTACTTCTTTGTTATTGGAAAGGTGCTATTACTCAGTATCGGACTTTTTAGCTAATACCCATATAAAATAACGTTCAGTAAATTAATTGTTTTGTATAATCTGTTAGTATTAATAATTTATAAGTAATGTAATAAGCTACTTGCAATATTAATTCAAAAATCAATATAATGTAATAGTTATAATAATGCAATACTTTTAATAATAATAATGTAATAACTATTTATAATCATAATTATCATATTAAATCTATTAATAATTATTTACTAGTGTAGTATAGAAATAAATTTTAATTTAATATTCGCATGCCAAAATGGTAGAATGTACGGATCTTTTATGTACTCTGTCAACACCCTTTTTGTAAATTACCTACATTCTATGCAAATAAATCAATATTCTATTCTATTCTATTCTACCATCTCTATATGGTAAGGCTATTTACATAACATACATACATACAGTCCTACCAAGGATGATACGCGAGGCTATTGAAATTAAAAAACATCCAAATTTCAATAGAGAAGATGGATGGGTGCTGCCACCTGCTTGGGATCCTATAATTAACAAAATTAAACCCAAACCCAAGCATACCACTGCAAGACTTCATGATACTATAAGCTCGTTTTGCGTAAAACCACAAATAAATATTTGAAATCTGAAGGTAACCAGACTATGTCATTGGAACGTCAAACATCTCAGCCCCCCCCCCCGTGACCATGGGTGCTGTAAAACACCCGAAACGTCGGGGTAATAAAAATAAATTAAAGTTGTAAATAAACGCGATAAAATCCGTAAATAATAGTTTTATTCAATGTGTAGTGTTCAAGTAAATTTAAGAATTCATTAATTAAAATAATCTTTTATTCACATAATATTCAAATATATACTAATGTTTATTACCATTATCAAAAAATACCAAATCTTTATGTAGCCCGACTCGCCGCAGTACAGTGACTAGAACGCTGGTTGCTTCTCCGCGCTGAATGGCCATACTTAGCCTTTGAGCGAAAAGAACCAGACCTCTTATCAGAAACAGCGACGATCAGTCACAGATACGGATACAGTACAGATACAGGATACCCAATATAAATGTATAACATTTATAGCTTACATTAATTTCTATTTTGAATTCTTTTCTCAAGCACTCCTTCTGATTCTCCTTGTCAAGTTTCTCAGCAGCCAGTTTGAGACGGAAGCTTCTCAGTGTGATCTCAGCATCTTCTAACTGCTTATGAAGTTCATCTATTGTTTTTTTATGTCTAAAAGATTAAAGCAGAAATAAAAACTGGTAATGATTCTTTGAAACTGTTGGGCCATCAAACACTGATTAAAAATATGAAAAAGAAGACATGCATCGGCCGGGAATCGAACCCGGGCCGCCCGCGTGGCAGGCGAGCATTCTACCACTGAACCACCGATGCTTGTACCAAGCTTGTAAAAATCAAGAATATAATATTATTTTGATAAACTACAATTACAAATTAAGAATAATTTTAGTACATTAACTAACGCAAGTGGTTAGACAAAGATAAATAAGACATTGATTTCAATATATGTGATCATCAAAAATAATTAGAACTATTTTTTTATTTAACTAAACCTATTATAGTTATACCATTGTACATCTTCACAATAAGCAATATAAGTTTTTAGATTATAAGATAGATTGCTTACTTTTCATTCTGCATTTGCGTGGTGTACAATACATCTTGTTGTGAAGAATTTGTTGCTTGCAATAAGGCTAACGCATGCTGTAGCGAAGCCATGTGATCCGTTGCACCCTAAGTAAAGCAATCAAGATACTGTTATCATTCATTACATATCTAAATTTTATTAAACTTAATTTAGTATTGTAAAAACTTTAAATGTACAATTTTCTTTATTTTATTTAGGTACAGCGCCATCTATCGTCTTGAATTATAACAACTTTAGTGCTCAAAAAGGTAGTTCATGAGTTTACCAATTTACAACAGAGGGCGCCGATTCAAAGTTAAAATAATAAATATGAATTTGAATATTTTTCAAAATGCAGCAATTACACACTTGACCTTGGTGGCGCGTGCCATTCACTAAGTTATTATCTATAAAACCAGTAAATTCGAATGAATGAGCTCACTCATTTGAGAATAGACACATTTCGGAGTGGTCATACTATGGTAAGGGCGCATCGAACTATTTAAATCTTTGTTTTTATTGCGTATTTTAGGTAAAATTTCATATAGTAAGCCACACCAACACGCCATTGCATGTTTGTGTGTCTATCTTTATCTAATCTTAGCGACGATATTGTTTTCGCAACTTGTGTAAGTGAGATAGATATATGTTTATTTAAATTACTGGGAATATTTATTTAGTTTATTTTTAATGATTATTGAAGTTGTTGATTTTCCTTCACGTTTAATTAGACATAGAACTAGTACAAAAGTTTGTAAGTTCCCAGTAGTAGGTTTATAAGCTAATATTTGTTGACAATATTTACAAACATCTAGGTAGGTACTTAGGTACATGGAATTGTCTTTTATCAAAGTGAAACCGTATTTCTCTAGCATTACGCGACATTTAGAAAGTCTATTTACAAAAATGATTACCGGAGTCAAAATCCACTTATATTATACTATACTATATTGTCACCACACACAAAACTGTCCGAATTAAAACTAATGTTCAAAATACATATAAACGAACGCAACGTAAAATTTACTGATTTTATAGATAATAACTTAATGAATGGCATGCGCCACCATGGTCAAGTTTGTTGCGTTTTGAAAAAAAAAAATCAAATTCATAACTTTCCATCCAGAACATAAACAAAAAGTTGCCTAAACCAAATATAATACGGCCATTCAAATTTAAGCCTTGTATTTAATGAGATAAAGATCTTTTCAAATTTGACAACTCTCACAACTACACAACCATATAAATTAGTCAATTTCAAACGTTTAAAACATGACCTTATTACTTTAGCAGCGTTGTGTGATAACTACGTAAACATCGCACCGAAATCCATAATAGCTTCATCTCTTTCTATACATATTTATGGTATCGTAGCAAGAACGAGAAGCAACGAATATCAACGAAGGCAACCAGCTAGTTCGTGGACCTTGTTGGCAGATCATTTCACAGTTTGCGTTTTTCGTTTATTTCCTTCGTTTTCGCTTTTCGTACGTTGGTTGGATATGTGATAACGGAATATTATTCCTCCGGTAGTAGTACATTTATCCAACAATGTGTATTTTCCTTTATAGAATAAGTTGACCATCACGAGGATTAGTGCTCGTATAATTTAGGTTGCGAAGGAAACAAACTAGGAGTAATAGGCAAAGTAAGGTTAATAACTTACAGATAGTGTTGATCTTATATCATTCTAAAATTAAAGTTTAATTTTAGTCGGATGAATAAAAAAATATTCATACGGCGACTTTTCAAAATAAAATATAGTCGTACCGTCAATTTAATACAATATATTGCAATATTTTTTTTTAAATAAATAAACCAAATTTTATTTATCTATTAATAAAAAAATCCTTACTTGTAAAGCAACAGAATGGGAATGGAGTCTCTGTTCCAGACAGGTCATTTTATATCCATATAACTCCATGACGCTGGACGTCGCTATATCCGATATCTATGGAAAAAAATTCAGCAACAGAATAATTAAACATATTTACATAAAGCAAATTTAAATTATTGATTTAGTTTTGATGTTTAACGAATATAAGAATTCAGCCGTTAGATCATATGGGGTATTCTTGCGCCACTACACGGTGAGGTAGCGTTGGTGTCGTAAATGAGGTCAGAAAAAAATGTGAAAGGAAATGGACATCAGCATCTTCCTGATATACTGCTTGCGTTCCAAGTGGAGCAACAACGGCAAATATCCCCCCTTGAGGCAATCTATGGGGGAGGCTTTTGATTAGCAGTAGACTTTTAATAGGCTGTAGTCGTAATAGTAGAATTAACCAACCAACCATACAATCTAGTCAAGATTACGGGAACGTAAGATGATTTTTTAAAAACTATTTAAAATATGTTTATATCTAATTATAATTATAACTACTTAATTAATACGTCTTGACAGAACTTGATGTCAAAACGAAGTGGCCGCTCCCATGAGCTCTGCCTGATACCTCATGCAACGATAAGCGCTGACTCTACAGTTACTGGATACTGTCTAATGCTTATGGAGCCCCCTCTAAGTACGAACCGTAACAACCCTATGGTCTTGTAGTTGCATAACTATCTCTTCTTAAGCACTGACTTTCAATGGAGAAAAAAATGTTTGAAAATGATCTCGGTGAACTCCTATAAATAAACACAATCATGATTATTATACTCAGAGAATTCTGTGAATGTAACCAAAGCCGAATTCAAAGAAAATAACAACATCGACTTAAAAGTGTTGTGAGGCTCATTCAGCTATACAACTTACAAGTAAACCTTTAGTACTGTTTTCTTTGTAAAATAATGAGGGCATGTTTTACGTATCAAATGACACAAACTGTAGTGTTTTTTTTTTATTGTCCTTAAAGGTGATAATGCATTCGCATTTTAATTATTGTTACGAGCTTAGAGTTCGAGACAGTTAAAACTGCCGATTGAATTACCAAAACTGACACTTTAATTACCGAATACCAATTACAACTTAAAACACAGTAATAATTAATCACATTTAACACTTTAGTTCGCAGTTATATCGCTTCGAAATATTCGCTTGAATTGCCAATTCAATACTGCTAAAGTTGTGCGAAACTGTTATATTTTCCTAATTCATTAAGATGTAATATATTTTTCTAACTGTTGTTTTAAACTGTTATAATATATTATAACAGTTTAAAATATTACATTTTACACGTGGTTAGTTCAGTTCAGTTGTCGGCTGTGTACTGTGTTAGCGTTTTGTTGTATATTGTTACAACGATTATAAATATGATTATGATGGATGTGATAATATCAAACAGACCATTGCTAAAAATATTTTGAAGTTGTATTAGCATCATTTGAGTGTTCCATGTTTTAAAAGAGAATCATTTCAAACATGTACGTTAAATTCAATGAACTTCCCTCCCAACTTTTAATAGGCATAGGACTGTGTGAACATATGTTAAGCTGTATAATTATTAATTATATACTCATATTTTAAAACATTTTAAGTAAAAAATAACTCATTCAGGCGTAGTTAGAAGTTCATTAATGTTATGTACCTACATTTTGTTGGAGAGTTTTAATTGGCGTGACATTATTATGCACTTTTATATACAACATGCAAAATCCTATCTATATTACACTAAATATTTACAATTACTTTAGGTATAAAACTTTACGAAAAACAACAATAAACTCGTCACGTAATATAAAGCACCTGCTACCAAAACATTACTTATATAACAGATAACAGTGAAATTGTCATCTCAGCTAGACAGCTAACTGAACACTAATATATTATAACAGCCAAAAATAGCTAGCAATGAACGAAATACAAGCAAATATATTTATCTTTATACTTTAGTGTTTGTAAAATAAGCTCTTAGAATGTTGCCTTAGAGTTTAAATTAATGTGAACCATACACGATCCTTGTGCTGCTTCTCAGCCGGCGACGGTTAGACCGTAAACCAAACACAAATGATAGTTGTTACTGTTACTTTTGTTATAGTACGTTTCTAGGACAGGCGGAAAAAAGGACATTGACCTTTGACGATATCATCGGGGTAGGCAATCTTTTTTGTTAAGGTTCATTTTTTAATCCTTTTATTATTACATACATCAACAGAGTGAAAGGCAAGGGTGCCGAGTGCGAAGTTCTTTACAGGCCCTATGTCTATTATTATATAATAAAGAAAGAAGATTATCCTGTATCTAAATGAATTAAAAATCAAATTAACATTAATTTAAGTTTATTATTTATAAATCATGAGTTATTACAATTTTCATTATTACGTTAATAGTAGGTAAGTACTTTAATAAGTAGGTAGGTAGGTAAAAAGACGAACTTTTAATGCTAAGCATTCTTCAGCAGCCAATCTTGAAACATACATAAAACTTCTCATAAAATATTGTCAGAGACACTTGACAGACTATTCATCTGTATATATTTCAGAATCATCTTACGATGATGTAGATGTAGAAGAGTCCGACACTTTGATTATAACCTAAAATATCGACAGTCTTCTTTTTCATGACCGTTTTGGATGGATATGGACGTTACTAGACCACGTTTCTTTTATATATTTATAGATGTTTACAATCATTATATTTTCGGTTTCCGAAATATGCTACAATTTACGCTTCTTTCGTGGTGACGTAAAGTCTTAAATGAGATTTTCATGTCGATAGATCCGATTTCATAATAGTGATAATATACAAAACGTCACAAAACAGTAACAAATTCTTTAATACAAAACGTAATAGTACAATTAACAAAACAAACTTAATAAAAATTCATCACGCACGACGTGAGACACAGGTTTTATTATCTCTGAATGGCCGCTTCCTTCAACTACCTGCGACCCTACCCCGTACCATGAGACACGCTTAGCGCATAACAATACGTAATCTATAAAGAAATGTATGGAAGCAATAACTGTCGTTTTGTTTCGATGCTAACATAATACTTGAGGTCAATGTACTTTTTTCCGCCTGCTTTAGAAACGTACTATAGATGGTGCTTTCCAACGATAATGAATATATTAAAACAGTCAATGGTTGATTATTCTAATGTGTTGTAAGATTATAAATATATAATGAAATATACTATCTGTTGTATGTTATAACGCCCAACTTTAATATTGACTCGGGTCGCGGTCTAGCCCGCCCTTATATATGCCTTTTCCACTGAAACATCTAGAATGTACGAGCACATGCCGGACCCGACCGACTAGGTCCAGAAAGCTCTCCGCTAAGCTAGTTCTGCTACTTGATACTAGATGGCGCTAGTAACATTATGTCTTGCAACATTATTAATCGAAAATATATGTAGATGACTATAGACCCACTGCATCTACTTATCACCAGGTAAACTACATGCCCGTTTTGTTAGGGGCCATTCATTAGTTACCTAAGGGTCCCGATGGGGGAAATGGATGTATTATGATTATATTATGATTAATAATGGGTTTCACCCATTGTTAATCATAATATAATCATCATAATTGTAATATATTTTTGTAAGTCGAAATTTAATATTAGAAATCTAGTTCAATTTTTGATACAGAATGATTTTCTTTCATTTACATCTTATTTTACGAACTTATTTAACTAATTTTCATTGAAATTTTAAAATCTTATAAATAACAGTTATAGTACATTCTTCACGCGTATTACTCTTATTTTAATTATTTCGAATATAAAAAATGATTCTTTTATTTTTTTATAGGATAGGGTGACAAACGAGCACACAGTCCACTCGATGGTAGGTGATTGCTGCGGCCCATAGACATTTACATCTATCCTCGATCACAAATTAAAATGCAGATGCGTTGTCACCCGTGAGGACTAAAATAGAATGCCTCGTTTCCAGTAAAAATGGTCTCCGGTTCTCTACACTCACCATACGAAACACAGCAGCATTAAGCTGCTATTTTACGCTGGTATTCTGTGAGAGCGTGGTCCTTCCCCGGTCGGCTGACCCATTCGTGCTACAACTATACTAAAAATACTAATATAGCTGCAGCATGGCTCTACCACGTATAAAAATTTAAAAAAATTTCAAGCAACAATAGCATTGAATGATTAAATTTATTTTATTCAATAATAATTCCGGTCACAATAGCATATTTCATATCTTTAAAAATACCGCGTAGTTTCCATGTTGGTCAAAAACTAGCGGTATTAACGTCACCCTCTTTTACTTTCATCTACCGTCCGCGGACACGTCGTGACAGGTGTTAGATTTTCTCCAATAAAACCACGGCACTTTACTTAGTTAACTGTTTAATCACTATATTCCGTGCTTAATCACACTCTCAAACTGTATATGAGTGTTTTAACACACTACACTTTACTTTTACAGAGAACACTATATTTTAATTCCACTTTGACTTACAATCTTTCGAATCACTTAATTTCACGACAGACTTAACTATTATAACCTTCTCAGTACCAATGTACGTATTCAACTGCCGGGCGTGTCAAGTGTAGGCGCTTTTATATTATGACTCGATTTTAGAATTAATGCGGGTAGTTTGAAATGGATTCATATTGGTATTAATTGTGAAGATTGCCATGTAATATTGCATAATGATTATTTATCTAACACTCGACCAATCCTGACACTAGACGCGTCCCCGCGTAAAAACAGTACCAAAGATATTAGGTTTTAAATTAACAATAATTACAATAAACTGAAATATGTATAGCAACAAATTACTATTTTTTTTTCACTTAGCACTGCCTAAATAGCACCATTTGGCATCGGTTTTCTCTTTTAACTGTAATGAATGCCGTTGCACAGAACGGTCCACACCGATACCACTCAGTAACGGCTCACTTTTATCTCTAATGAATGCCGTTGCACAGAACGGTCCACACTGATACCATACGGCACCAGCTCACTCTTTAAATCTAAGAAATGCCGTTGCACAGAACGATCCACACCGATACAATTCAGTAACGGCTCACTTTCTTATATC